GGAATTTTCCGAATTTTCGATTCGGACTCTTTCTAAATGCACCATGCTTTTTCCACAGAAACCATTTACCATTCTAGTTTGCTCAATGAAACTGATCAAATACCACTGATGTGCTCCACTCACAAATCATTGGGCAATATCGGAGAGTAGCGCAAAACATTCTCTGTGATCGCCAGATCCATCAATCAATAATCAATCACTTAATCAAACAATCGTAAAAATAGTAGATCATCCCCAACGCTATTATCGTTAGCTAAATGAACAGAAGGATGCTACAAGGAAGGAAGAATATGATTTGAGTGATATTGATGATAACAGAGAGGCATTATTAACTCGTAATGAGTTGCAGTTGGATTTACTGCTGCTGGCATAACAAGATTACTGGCATTGTTAATTGCAGGACGATCTGGCGAGACGTTTGCAACTGCTTCAAGACGAACTGGCCGAAAAGCAGCGCATAATCGAGCGTCAAAGCGCAGAAATCAACGAGCTGAAACGACAATATCAAACGGAAATCGATCGTCTCAAAGCCGAGCTGGTCAACCTGGAGAATAAATATCAGAATGAACTCGAGGATGAACGTGATCAACACCAACGGGTCAGTGCTCATGATTACACTCTGACAATAATGTGTGACAATCGGAATCTGGCTGGCATNCCTGTTTAAGTAGTCCACAAAATGCAGCAAAAATTGATGGGTGAGTCAAAATCGGGACGGCTTCCGAGTGTAGAACTTGCGAAAATAGTGGCACAGTATCCGTGGTTCCTTATAAAAGTGAACTGAAGATTTTTTCGGGTAGTGCCGCCTTCTTGTGTCTTGGCTACATCCGGAACACCAGTTAACTCCATAAGTAGACTTTGCGCTTCTTGAGATATTTTTGGAAAAAAGCGATAGGCAGACGAGATTTTAATGATACTATCATACATGACTTAAAAATATTACGAGAACAAATGAGATTAAACAGGGTTGAATGCGATATCAGATCAAATCTGATCTGATCAATGCAATCCGTCCAGAGTTCAGCACAAAAACTTATTGAAGTCAGTAAACCAGCTAAATCTCGATAAGTCTAACACAGGAAAAGGCGGCAGAGCTTGGCCAGCAGCATTACCATTCGAGCCGCATCAATAATAGTTTCGTGATGAATTCACTCGGCTCCATTGAAACCGCAACAATGGAACCAACTCAAATCCAAGTAAATTGCCGTGGAACCAACGAATAATTTCAGGAGATTGAAGCGCTCAGAGCTGAGCAAGACGATTTACGAAGCAAGATTCAAGTGCTGGAGAAACGTCTGGAAGAGTGTCTGGCCAGAGAGAAGTTGCTGCAAAAGGAGGTTGTGGATTGGGAGGAGAAATACAACGA